CATATGATACATACGTACATGCATACATAAATTCGCCTACATACTACTTGTAGTACTTACCATATTACCTTATTACATGATATTTATTTATAAATCTAGTGAATTAGCTGCAGCCACCAAGTGACTGTCCAATCCCAAAACACAATGCGACAGACGGGCAATCGGGCAATCGGGCAGTCGGGGCGGCTGTGTAGGAAAACCTCGCGACATTTGGGGAACAGTCAGTGCAAAAGGTGGAAGGAGATCGTTTGATGTTGGCATTGTTACATGAATGCTGCGATAAAGCAAAACAAATAGGTCTCATAAATAATTTTATTCCGTATAATTTTGCAAGTGCACTTTTCATACATACATACATACATATTTATTTATGCATTTACATACACGTATGTGCCATTATTCTTAATTGTAGGTGCAAGAGTATGTTTATGTGTGTACTGAAATGCAGTAAGCAAAGAACGTCCAAGAGTGTTACACTCGACTCAGCGTAACGACTAAAAATCACAGCTAAAAATAATTATTTTTTCTTACATACATACATATATATAAAAATATATATATATTATATATATATATATATATATTATTTTTACATACATACATAAATATTCACGTCAATTTCAATAAAAGGGACGATTACGTATTGCTGGTGCACCTAAATTACTGTTACTATGCGAAGAATATTTAAGATATCGGATCTTATCATTCTTGTTCTTTATAGGCGCAAGCTCCGCTTATGCTTTTTTAGCCGAGTCAACAACAGCGCGGCGTTCATCCCTTTATTATTGCTGTTTAGCACCAGTTGGAAATACCAAATGAAACCAGATCGCTCTCCACTTGATCCTTCCAACGGTGTGGAGATCTTCGTCTTCCTCTGCTTCCACTGGCGAGTGCTGCATCGAATACCTTCAAAGTTTGAGTACTTTCATACATTCGGACGACATGACTTAGCCAGCTTAGCCACTGTCTCTTCATTCACGGCACTATATAAATGTCATCGTTCCATCGTCTGCAGTATTCGCCGTTACCAATGCACAAAGTACCTTGAATCGGTTGCTAATATTTTCTCCCGAAGACTTCAAAGACCGCCGACTCATCGCATGTATTGTATATAGACGAAATTATCTACGACCTCGAAGTTAAAGCTGTCAACAATGAGCCGAGTTGTGAATGCAATACCCATTTCTTTGATGACAGGAGATATTTCGTCTTGTTCTCGTTCACTACCATACATATTCGCGCGGTTGTTAAGGCCTATAATATCAATATCATCGGCATACACCAGTAGTTGTATACTCTTGTAAAAGATTGTAATTTGTCTATTTAGCTCTGCAGCTCTTATTATTATTATTTTCTTCATTATCAAATTGAAGAAATCGCGCGATAAAGAGTCACCTTGTCTGAATGCTCGTTTGGCCCTGAACGGCTCGGAGAGGTCCAACGCGACTCTGACTGCGTCTCTGGTGTAGTCCAGCGTCAGTTTACGCAGCCGTATACGTTTTGCGGGGCTACCATCTTATTCAGCCAGCGGCGTAGAGGAAGCTTCTTACTGTGCTGTACATATTCTGCAAAAAAGCTGATGAATGTAATTTGTCAGTTATTCACCGCCAAGTTTGAATAGCTCTGCTGGCAGGCCATCAGCTCCAGTCGCTTTGTTGTTCTTCAAACGGGCAATCGTTATACGAACTTCGTCTTAATCGAGGAATGGAACGTCTTTTTCATCGTCAAAAATTAAGGTTTCGGGTTCACTATTACAGGCCGGAGAAGTGTTATCTCCAAAAATTTAGGGTAGCAGTTTCTCCCTTCAGCTCCCGATGTTAAGACCTCAAAACTTATCCACATTGTGAACATATCTCCATCTATCACAATATGATCGTTTCTTGTGCTGGAATCTAGTACTTCAGCCAACCATATTTCGGACTCCGACGAAGTCGATCAGCCTTAAGCCATTTGATGATATCTCGTCGTGGAAACTGGATTTTCCGACAGTTGTGCCGAATATACCGTCTTTGCTTACTCTGGCACTGAAGTGGGTGGTTCCCAAATCCTATGCACGGCCGCATGGGATTTGCCTTCTCACGTTAGCACGACTCGAAGCGGTTGTTTGTTATTGCTATCCAGAGGATATTTGGTCTAAGACCGGTAGTCGTAGGCTGCTTAAATCGAATGCAAAAGATTCGTTTCTTGCTTCTCCCAGGTGAATGGCAATCAAAAGCTTGCATAAACTTCTACATATGCTACCATGTCAGAAACATACTAAAGAAGAGAATGTACATGTATTCACCGAGTCATAATAGACACCAAGTGGCCATAATAGACACCAGTTGGACAATCGAATTTTATTTGGGTTCAATTCTTCACCAACCAAATAATTCGCCATAGGCAGGAACTGATCGTAATCACTTGATTCAACCAAACTCTCAGAGCTATTGGCTAGTCACTATACTTGTGTGTGGTCTGACGTTGTCCGAATGAAATATTATTCCTCTGCTGTTGACCAAATCTGAATGTTTCTGAGCGATTGCTTCCTTCAAAAGAACTAAATAAGAGCTTGGCCGTAGGCGTGTGGTGAATTTCATGCGTTATTAATCTCCCCAAATAGACCAAAAACCTTACTGGCCGTCAATCCTCGCTTGAAACCGTTTTTGCCAGCCCACTGCCCTTTCATTTGAACTGAACCAAAGCGACGAAATCAAAAATGTGAATGATTGACTGACAGTACTGTGACAGTGTCATACAGCGTAATCCAATCGCGAGATACAGATCATTAAATCACTACTAATTTTAGAACTAGCAAAAAAAATTCCTTTTCCAACGGAGTCTGAACGATATTTGCAAAGTACTGCATAAGTGAGAGCGAAACACATGTAAACACACAAAAACTCGAAGTCTCACAGGGTCGCCTCATCTGATGTCGACATTGTCCACGCTTCTGCACCTCATATTGTAGTTGGACGGGAATGATGAATGATTTTTAGAGTTTGATTGTGGTTCGTCGAGAGAGAACTTTACTTTTCAGTTGCCTACTCAGTCCAAAGTAGCAATTGTTGTATGTGTTAATGCTGGTTCCAAGATTGACGAACTTCAAGGTTATGAAGCCAAGCTGTAAATGTGCCGACTGTTTTATTGATGGCATAAGATATTTCGTNAGTCTCGCAAAATCTCAGATCCCGGTGCTTTGCCTCTACTGCAACATAGATGTGAATTTCCAACCCGACTATTTGTCTATGAATTAGTCAGCGGCAAGTAAGTGCCCCGATGAGAAGTGATAGCTGTGTTCAAGCTAGTAGATCTACTGCAAAACGTGGTGATATTTGTTGGATCGAGTCAAAGGTGCCTGTTCTTGAATGCTGATCACTTTATTACCAAGAAAATCGGTCTACGCTATAAATAGTGGAGTGAGAAATTCTTTAACTTGCCTGGAAGGCACCATAAAAAACAGTATCGGTCCTGACTCCCGGTATAAGAGATGATGCTTTTGAACTGAAATGACGCTCAGTAGAAGTAAGTCTACCATTTCTGTCCAAAGAGTTATAGAAAATTAATTTAATTATAAAATGAAGCTAAACTTTTTGATTACGGTTGTCCCTCAGCAGGGAATTTCAACCCCTCCAAGGGTATTCTGACATGAAATTATGTGTTTTCATAGAAATCCATCCAACGTACGGAGGTGGTTTAGTATGAGTGATTCTGTGCTGGATAAACACCAAGACGCAAAACCACAAATTGGAGGAAAAACTCGGCCGAAAATCGCTTCAGCGCCAATTATATATGATCGCGTAAGCGGTGCCAATACCAATAAAGAAGAAGAAGAACATATATTTACATATATCTAGTTTTTGAAAGTATCCACCAGCAACTCTCCGACCACTGCCGAACTCAAGACAGCCCTGGCAGCATTTAGTTTGTTGTAACCATTCTATAAGAAGCGGGTGTCCCGTCTAAGTCTAAAAAGACATAATTATCTTTGCGTATTCTTCATTTTGTAAGAGGTTTGAATTAATGTGTAATAACTAACGGTACAAACCGAAATATACACCTGAAGTCATACCTGCAATCAGCGCAAACAAACACTGTTTTGGATAGAATGGACAATTAAAAACGCAACAACTGAAGGAAGATCAAAGAACAAGGATGCAGGTCCGCACAAAAGGAGATTACATATTTATGTAGATTGTCGGTCGACCATGAATTCCTTATTCCCATGCGAGTAAAATTCACATATATTGGGTACAAGTGCATATATGGGTAGTATATATATTGATAAGCCGATGAACTGACAAAAAAGTCTCAAAATTAGAATCTAGACCGAGGCAGAGCATTGTTTGTTGGCGTCTCATGTCTACAATCACAGGAAATATGTAGGGAGGCGTTGTAAAATTTTTCATTGGAGCTGGTTTCTACAAGCATGAACACCAATAATAACGTCGGCCTTGAAATCCAGCGCAGAATCACTCTTGCACACATGTGCTACTTTAGACTGAGCAATTGAAAAGTAAAGTCTCCTCCCGACGAAAGAAAACCAAACTCTACAAGTCCCTCATCCGTTCCGTTTTCCGTTCTGCTATATGGTACGGAAGCATGGACGATGACCGCATCTGATAAGTCGGCGTAGGGAGTTTTTGTGAGAAAGATTTTTTCTAAGATTTATGGTTCCTTGCACATTGGCAACCGCGAATAACGCAGCCGATGGAATGATGAGCTGTACGAGTTATACGGCGAGATGTATATAGTTCAGCGAATTAAGAAGCAGCGGCTACGCTGGCTAGGTCATCTGTTCTGTATGGATGCGATGCTTTGAAAGTTTTCGATGCAGAGGAAGATGAAGACCTCCACTCCGTTGGAAAGACCAGGTAGAGAAGAACCTGGCTGTACTTGGTATTTTCAATTGACACCAAACAGCAAAAAGAAAAAACGAATAGCGCATTGTTGTAAATCGGCTGTAATCGCGTAAGCGGTGTCTACGCCAGTAAAGTAAGAAAATCTTTATTTATATGTATGTATATTTATTATTTATTGATATTTATGAAAAGGATTAAACCATTTGTTGGTCTAATGTATATCTGAGATTTGTCTAACAAAACTTTAGTTTCATTTTAGTTGTTTTAGGTACATGACGAATGGTTAATGATATGCGAGTTCCACGTTTCAAAATATCTCCCATTTTATGCGTTGTTTCGCAATTCTCATAGTTGCAAATTTTATCGCAAAGTGTATCTTCCTTAAATTCGTTAATGGCATGCAAATAGTCCCTATATAATGAGTCTTTAAGGATTAATAAACTGCGAGGTTCTAAAAGTATTTTAAAGGCAGTTTCGCGTGGTGAACTTTCTGGTTGGAAGGATTCAATATTATTTGTTTCTTCCTGTGGGCCTGTTTCGGTATGATCTAATGTATTCACTCTCCCATCAATGAATTCGAGTACCGTATATGAGCCGCATGTAATTGTGGATATAGTAGGATGAAACAAAGGGCCATCNATGTCATCGTTCCATCGTCTGCAGTATTCGCCGTTACCAATGCACAAAGTACCTTGAATCGGTTGCTAATATTTTCTCCCGAAGACTTCAAAGACCGCCGACTCATCGCATGTATTGTATATAGACGAAATTATCTACGACCTCGAAGTTAAAGCTGTCAACAATGAGCCGAGTTGTGAATGCAATACCCATTTCTTTGATGACAGGAGATATTTCGTTTTGTTCTCGTTCACTACCATACATATTTGCGCGGTTGTTAAGGCCTATAATATCAATATCATCGGCATACACCAGTAGTTGTATACTCTTGTAAAAGATTGTAATTTATCTATTTAGCTTTGCAGCTCTAATTATTTTCTTCATTATCAAATTGAAGAAATCGCGCGATAAAGAGTCACTCTGTCTGAAAGCTCGTTTGACCCTGAACGGCTCGGAGAGGTCCAACGCGACTCTGACTGCGCCTCTGGTGTAGTCCAGCGTCAGTTTACACAGCCGTAGTATACGTTTTGCGGGGCTACCATCATATTCAGCCAGCGGCGTAGAGGAAGCTTCTTAATGTGCTGTACATATTCTGCAAAAAAGCTGATGAATGTAATTTGTCAGTTCTTCGCCGCCAAGTTTGAATAGCTCTGCCGGCAGGCCATCAGCTCCAGTCGCTTTGTTGTTCTTCAAACGGGCAATCGTTATACGAACTTCGTCTTAATCGAGGAATGGAACGTGTTTTCATCGTCATAAATTAAGGTTTCGGGTGTCCATTTAACAGGGCGGAAGAGTGTTATCTCCAAAAATTTAGTGTATTCTGGGTAGCAGTTTCCTTCTTCAGCTCTCGATGTTAAGACCTCAAAACTTATCCACATTGTGAACATATCTCCATCTATCACAATGTGTGTTATTAGATCCTGCAACAGCCACATAGTTTGATGAAATTTCTTGTGCTGGAATCTAGTACTTCAGCCAACTGTAGTACTTACCATATTACCTTATTACATGATATTTATTTATAAATCTAGTGAATTAGCTGCAGCCACCAAGTGACTGTCCAATCCCAAAACACNGGTGACTTCTTATCGTGCGATTTCTTTAATTTATTGATAGCGAAAATTTTAAGAGCTACAGAGCTGAATAGAGAAGATATAATTTTCTATACAGCTGCAGGCGGCGTATGATGATGATATTGACATCATTGACCTCAACAACCGCGCTGTTAGTTAGAAGCGAAGGATATTGGTCTGGTAGTCTGGTGTCTCCTGCTATCAATAAAACAGTCGGCGGATTTACAGCTTGGCATCATAACTTCGAAGTTCGTCAATCTTGGAAGCAGCATTAACACATACAACAATTGCTACTTTGGACTGATTAGGCAACTGAAAAGTAAAGTTCTCTCTCGACGAACCACAATCAAACTCTAAAAATCATTCATCATTCCCGTCCAACTGTAATATAAGGTGCAGAAGCGTGAGCAATGTCGACATCCGATGAGGCGACCCTGTGAGACTTCGAGTTTTTGTGTGTTTACGCTCTCACTTATGCAATGGTGTTGGCATTGTTGATAACAAATTATTTTTGATGCAAATAACGTTCAGATTCCGTTGGAAAAGGAATTTTTTTGCTACTTTTACCATCCTCTTGATATGACAATTTTGCAAATATTGAATTAGTAGTGATTTAATATTGAAACTCTTCAAAATATTAGATCTATAGGTGGCTTTAATGATCTGTATCTCGCGATTAGATTACGCTGTATGACGTTAGAAAGTTGATATGTCACAGTACTGTCACAGTAAATCATGCACAATTTTGATTTCGTCGCTTTGGTTCCGGTCAAATGAAAGATCAGTGGTCTGGCAAAAACGGGTTTCAAGCGAGGATTGNGAGTTCAATTCTTCACCAACCAAATAATTCGCCATAGGCAGGAACTGATCGTAATCACTTGATTCAACCAAACTCTCAGAGCTATTGGCTAGTCACTATACTTGTGTGTGGTCTGACGTTGTCCGAATGGAATAATATTCCTCTGCTGTTGACCAAATGTGAATGTTTCTGAGCGATTGCTTCCTTCAAAAGAACTAAATAAGAGCTTGGCCGTAGGCGTGTAGTGAATTTCATGCGTTATTAATCTCCCCAAATAGACCAAAAACCTTACTGGCCGTCAATCCTCGCTTGAAACCGTTTTTGCCAGCCCACTGCCCTTTCATTTGAACTGAACCAAAGCGACGAAATCAAAAATGTGAATGATTGACTGACAGTACTGTGACAGTGTCATACAGCGTAATCCAATCGCGAGATACAGATCATTAAATCACTACTAATTTTAGAACTAGCAAAAAAAATTCCTTTTCCAACGGAGTCTGAACGATATTTGCAAAGTACTGCATAAGTGAGAGCGAAACACATGTAAACACACAAAAACTCGAAGTCTCACAGGGTCGCCTCATCTGATGTCGACATTGTCCACGCTTCTGCACCTCATATTGTAGTTGGACGGGAATGATGAATGATTTTTAGAGTTTGATTGTGGTTCGTCGAGAGAGAACTTTACTTTTCAGTTGCCTACTCAGTCCAAAGTAGCAATTGTTGTATGTGTTAATGCTGGTTCCAAGATTGACGAACTTCAAGGTTATGAAGCCAAGCTGTAAATGTGCCGACTGTTTTATTGATGGCATAAGATATTTCGTCTTGTCCTCATTCACTACCAGACCAATATCCTTCGCTTCTAACTAACAGCGCGGTTGTTGAGGTCAATGATGTCAATATCATCATCATACGCCTGCAGCTGTATAGAAAATTATATCTTCTCTATTCAGCTCTGTAGCTCTTAAAATTTTTGCTATCAATAAATTAAAGAAATCGCACGATAAGAAGTCACCTTGACTGAAACCTTGTGCGCTATCGAACGTCTCGGAGTGGCACTACCAAATTGGAGAATGACGCCAGTTTTGACTGTCATTTACCTGGAAGTAGTCGTAAAAATGATCCTTTTACATACGGTTCAAACAGCTCACGACTTTCGGTCGACTTAAGCCAAGTGCTACGGCTTCGAGGTGAGCTAAAGTGAGAAGGCGTATACCTCAATGAAAAACAACAGAAACCATCGGATGTGAGACCTCCTCCCCCCTTTTTTTTTTAATTTTAGTCAAAGGAGCACTAAAACCCTGTTCATTTATACAGCAATGCTTTTCCATTTCCCTTTCCGTATTCCATAAAATTTTGTATGTTTGCATGTACATATATACAAATGTATGTGTGTTTTTGTTGAAACATATTTGCAATGTTACGACTTATCACTTCATGTTAAGGCAATAAATATTACATTTTTAGTAACTTTTTCATTTTCATTATAAACAACACAAAAAGCACAATAATTAAAAAAAAATTGTATGAACATATGCTCGTATGTATGTATGTGTGTATGTATGCATGTATGTATATAAATATAGATTTTCAGTAAAGAATGCGACATCTTGTAGTATTCGGAAAATTTGGGTTTACTCGAATTCGAGGTATTTGTTTCGAATTACTGCAGCGAAAAGTATTCGTACATCGCGCATATGTATGTAGTATATACATAATATATACACATGTGTGTGTGTGTGTATGTAAGGTGCGCGAGCGCAACCAAAAAGCCGCATAAGTAACAAATAATCGAAATACTTTAAAATTTTATTAAATGCCAGTTTTTTGGTGTTGTTGTTGTCGTTGTTGTTTTCTTTGTTATTTGTATATAACCTGCCTATACACATATATGAACATGCGAGCATAATGCTTATAACAAAAATATATATTTATATATTACACATTTATATTACTCGGACATGCTTTTGCTGACATACAAATATACATTTGCATATACATATATATATATATATATAAATGTGTGTGTAGCCGCATGTTAATAGTAAACCATTTGCGATTTTTTCTTTGTTGATTTTTTTTTTTTCACATACAAACATATGTTAGTGTCAAATGGTAGCGGAGGTGTTGCATCAAACTGTACAACATGCAACAAATATATGTATGTCGGCATGCCAATATTGTTGTGGGACTTTGTCGTCGTCTTATAATTTGAATTTGTTTTGTTTCTATTTCTTTTTCATTTATTTTTTTTGTGTTTTTTTTTTTTCTTTTTTTTTTTCTTTTGTAGGAAAAGAATGGGAGTGAATGTCAATATAAAAGCTTAATTCTATTTTTACGCCTATCTACGGCTAGCTCAGGCACTTGGCACCATCAATGCAATTTTGTATGTTTGTTTGCTTGTAAATATATGTATAACGTAGTATGCAGTAGTAGCCCATATTTTACATCGCCGGTGGTAAGGTGAAAGCAAAGAAAAAACCACAACAAAAAAAAAACCAAAAACCAAACAAAAAAAAAACACTTTATTACAACGTAATCTGCATTGCGGACATATTGTTAGAATTAAAAATACCCCAAACATACTGATGTGCATACATACATATGTATGTACATATGCGAGTTGGTGCTTTTTTGAGATTTAGCATTGATAGTTGGGTTTTTAATTTAAATTAGAAAAATGTAAGGCCCTTACTGTCTGCTGCTGCTGCCGCCTGCTGTTGCTACCGCTTTTGATGCCAATCATTTAAGCTGCGTGGCATTGTTGCTGACAGATAAAATTCATATATAACATTTTCGACTGTCCATGTAAGGGGACATCGTATGAGTTGTGGTGTGGACCTAACTGTGCGTATACATATGTATGTATGTATATGCACATACATATATCTAAAGGGTGTTCAGTACTGATGTGCCCCTAGACTGGTTATGCATTTTCACTGCATATATTTCGTGAGACATCAGATGAGAACCTTTTCCAAATTTTTTCTAGTAAAATTTGCTATTTTGTGTAGTCTACTTTTCTGGTAGCTGTCACTTTTGAAGCTAAAATTTTTGTAACATTTGAGAAGTGAAAACTTTGCTAGTACTAAAAGTGGAGTGACACATGCTTCAACGACACATGGACATTATTAAAAATTCAGTATAAAAATAATGGAAATGTGGCAGAGTTGGTTCGTAAAACTAAAAAAATTTTCGGTCGCCGTACCGCAATACAGTTAATGAAGTGAAGAATAACGGATGTGCACGTCGCCCATAAGCAACTAAGAACATTGCTGTTGTAACTCAAAGTGTTGAAGACAGCACAGGTTGATTCATTCCTCGTTGTTCTTCGGATTCGGGCATTCCACAAACGTCATTACACAGCAGTTTGCATAAAGACTCGGATCTTAAGGCTTATAAAGTTCAGTTAACATAAGAACTCAAGCCAGCCGTTCATCAACAACGTCTTGTTTTTGCTTACAAAGACCTCAGTATGCATGAAAACGATCAGGAATTTCAACGAAATATCATCTTGATTATTGAGGCTCATTTCCACCTCGATCTCTTCGTTAGCAAAACTGTCAGATTTGGCGCCTAAGACTTATTGTTGATATATGGATAGGCTTCATCATCAATAGCCAATTTGTGGTCCGATGGGGTCATTGGACCTTAGCTTTACGAAAGTGAGACAGGAGCAAGACTTGCGGTGAATGGATTGCGCTATCGAGAGATGAGTTATGATGTTTTATGCCTGGAATTGGATGGTTTTAATCTAGACAACTTTACTGTCCACCGAGATCTTTCGATTTAACACCTTGCAAATTCTTCCTTTCCTTGTAACGATTGAAGTCAACAGCCACTTTGAGATTTGGTGATTTGATAATGGAAAATTTCATAAAAAGTATACGGTCCTGTAAACGATTTTCGGCCGAGCTGGAGGATCCTGCAGTTCATACTAAGCCACCTCCGAACGATGGATGGATTTTTATGAAAAGCCTTTATTTCATGGCAGAAGTATACTCGTTGGGCTTGACATTCTCTGCCGAGGGTCGATTGCAAATTGAAAAATTAATTCTCTACT